GGGAGCCCGATGCGGGGCTCGATCCCAGGACCCTGGGATCATGACCTGAGCCGAAGGCAGACGCTTAACCGGCTGAGCCACCCAGGCGCCCCAAGACCTCTCATCTTACCTCAGGTGTGCATTGAAACTTCTAAGAACTTGAGATATTCCAGGCAGGAGAAGGTCACATCCTTGAGGCAACCATAGAGGAGGATTAGGGCTACTTGCACATTACAGGAATATTTTATATCCCACTGCCTACCTGATATTGCCATCTGGATGTTCATTAAGCATCTCACACTTAACCAGAAGAGAATTGGTGTCCTTTCCCCCACACCTGTTCCTCCCATCTACCCTCTCTCAGTAAAGAAAACACTATGCCTGCCAACCGCCCAGATCCAAAGCCTGGAAACCACCCCGGGTCCTGGCTGTCAGGAGGACTTCATTAGGGTGAAAGAGTCTGAAATAGAGTCCAGGCAGAGATACAGTAAACCAGAAAAATTAACAAGGCGCTGAGGCAGGGGCGAGGAAGCAATAAATGAATTCACAAATGCTTGAATCGCCTTAAAGGGTCTGGGCCGACAGATGCCCAGAACGGGGAGGAGGCTGGCTGGGGACGTTTAAACGCCTTAAGTTCCACAAGAGACCCCAGCGTGCCGGGGGAGGGGAAGGTATTAGGAGCCAGAGCAGGCCCCTTCTCCAGGAGGCCCAGGCTGGGCCCAGGCTTGGGGGATGGGGGCGGCCCGCCAGGGTGGGGGAGGGGATGCTGCCTGAAAGGCGCCTGCAGAGATCGGGTAAGGGGGTGTGCGTGAAGGGGGTCTCAGGACCCGCCAGAGGCCGCTTACCCGACACTCCCTTCGGAGGCCGCAGCAACAGGCACAGGCCGCTCAGGCAGAGCGAGACCAGGAGCGGTGTGGCCCGCGGGGTTGCGGCCGCGGAATCCCTCCCATCTCCCCTCTGGGAACACTGGGGCCGCGCCACGCCCCCATCCTTACCGGCCCCGGTCCGCAGCAGTCCCTGAGCCGCCGGAGGCGCACCGCCCCGAGGCGCTCCCCAGGCAAAGCCTGAGGGGACGACGCCTCCTCAGGCCCCAGGCGCCGCCGACGCCACCGCCTCCGCACGCGCGCCCGCTGCGATCTGTGATTGGCTGCCAGGTGCGGGGCCCCAGGCCGGCGCGGCTCTGGGCGCTGCGATCTGATTGGCGGCGAGGCCCTTCCAGGGCCTGCGCGCGCTCTGGCGCCCCTGGTGGCGATCCCTGGGCGCGGGGTCAGGCTGAAAGGGGTGAGGGCGTCAGCAATGACCCTCAGTCCCTGGAAGAGTCTTGGGAGGTCCAAGGTTGCAGAGCCGGCCAGGGTTCAAGGATAAGGGCAGGCTCCCAGTCCATCAGGGGATATGTTTGCCCACTTGGAGGTTAGTTCTCATAATCCTCAGGTGTGGTCCCTTTTTCGTAAAACACTAGCTGCCCGCCCCATGTTTAAGAGAACTTGACCACGCAACTGAGTCTTGACGCCCATACTCTTGATGTTGCATCTAGTCAAGCTATACAAAAATAGCCTGGCACCTATTTTTGTATAGCTTGCAGCGACCTAAGAATAAATTTTACATTCGTTAATGTCTGAGAAAAACCACAAAGAGAATATTATTTTGTAACATGTGAAAATTATATAAAATTTAAATTTCAGTGTCCATAAATAAAGTTTTATTGGAAGACAGACATACCCATTCCTTTAGGTATTGTCAATTGCCAGAAATCATATTCAAAAGCCTAAAATATGTACTATCTGGCCCTTTACAGATTTTTTTAAATTGCCATTTCTGCCAGAGGTCTGTCTAGTTTAGTAATGTTTCGAAAAGGGGAAAGAAAAAAAAAAGACAGCTTTTGGGTTTGTTAAACTATAAGGCGATTTTCATCTCTAGCTCATTTATATTTTCCACTCTTTACTTTCTTATTATCTCTATAGGTTCTGTGGTTCCTCTTTACAATATTTTTAAGTTTTTTTTTTAAATTGTAGTGTAGTTGATATACAATGTTATATTAGTTTCAGGTGTACAGTGTAGCGATATGACATTCTATACATTACACAGTAATCACCATAAGTGTGGTTACCATCTGTCGCCATACGAAGTTATCCTCTTTACAATTTTTTGAGATAAATGCATAGGTGGTTTATTTGTAAACTCCCAGTTATTTCTCTTATATGTAATGCTATAAATTTACCTTCATTTACTTAAGTACCAATTTAACTGTATCCTATAATTTTTGCTTCATAATATGTTCATTATCCTTCAATTCTAAGTATGTCTTAATTTCCCTGGTAATTCTCTTTTTAACGCAAGGGTTATATAGTAATATGGTATTTATTTTCCAAATGTGTGGGATTTTAAAAAGCAATTCCTTTGTAAATTTCTCATCTTGTTGTATTATGGTCAGATCACACAGTCTAAATATTATTGATCCTTTGCATTTGAGGATTTCTGTTCAGTGAAGTAATTGCCCATTGGGCAAAATGAAGAGGATGTAGATACAGAGAAAGCATTTTCAATGTCTAAAATGTGTATTTGGGAAATTACCTCCTTTAGGCCTCAAAATTACTTCAATATCCTTCATTAGGTTGCTATTAACTATGCTCCAGGCTTTATTCAAATCTCACTAGTTTTTCTACTAATGTCCTTTTTCTGTTCCAGATTCCCATACAGGATACTGCACTGCACTTAGTCATAGTGTCTCCTTAGCCTACTCAGGTCTATGACAGTTTGTTAAACTTTCCTTGTTTTTCATGACCTTGACAATTTTAAGGAGTCCTTAAGGGTCAGATATTTTGCAGAATGTCTCAATATGGGTTCGATGTTTTCCTCATGGTTACACTGGGGATATAGGTTTTTAGAATGATACTACAGAGGTGATATGTCCTTATCACTTACCATCAGGGATACATGGTATCACTGTGACTTACCACTAATTTCTCCACTGTAGAGTTACTTTTTTCTCCTTTCCATATTCCACTCTTTGGAGGCAAGTCACTTAATCTAGCCCACCCTCAGGAAAGGACATGTAGTCTCATTGAGGGGAGAGTGTCTATGAGATACACAAATCATTGAGAGTACAGAAATTATTTGGACTTCATTTATAAGGAAGATTTGTTTACCTTACCTTTAAATTTAATTTTAAATTAATCAAAATTAAATAAATTAAAAATCAGGTACCTCAGTCATACTAGCTACATTTCAATGGCTCAGCAGTCACGTGTAGCATACTGGCCACAGCCGATATAGAACATTTCCATCACTGCAGAAACTTCTGTTGACAGCACTGGGTTTTTTTTTTTTAAGATTTTATTTATTTATTTGACAGAGAGAGAGCAGCAGAGAGAGAGGGAGAAGCAGACTCCCCACTGAGCAGGACTTGATCCCAGGACCCCAGGATCATGACCTGAGCTGAAGACAGACACTTAACCAACACAGGCACCCTCGACAGCACTGATTTAGATCATTATTTTTCCGAACTTTCTTCTCCTTCTCTTCCCTCCTTTTCTTCACTGAGGGACAATTGACATAAATATTATATTAGTTTCAGGTGTACAACATAACGATCCAATATTTGAATATCTGTATATATTGTGAAACGATCACAATAAGTCTAGTGAACATCCGTCCATCACCAAACATAGCTACAAATTCTTTTTCTTGTGATGAGAACGTTTAAGATTTACTCTCTTAGTAAATCTCTTCTCATTAGTATACATATATTCTAGAGAAATGACTACATGTGTCTACCAAAAGACATGCACCAACTCATGGCAGCTTTATTCTAAATAGCAAAAGAATCAGCCTCAAAGTCCATCAGGAGTAAAATGGACATATACAACCCTACCATATTCATCCAATGGGATTAAGCACTATGGTATTATTAACTATAGTCACCAGGTTATACATTACCTCCCCATGACTTATTTTATAACTGAAAGTTCGAACCTCTGGATCCCCTTCACCCATTTTGCCCACCCCAACCCTTCTTCTTTTCAAATATATGCAGTTTAAATATGAATTCCTTCTAATTGCTTTAGCTCCATCTTATAATGAGCAGAGAGAACAGTATTTAAGAGGTTTGTGAAAGTGCAAAAATGGCACTTTGCTCTTTAGGCCCCTGGCTTCCCTACACCCTAGTCCCAGCCCTGTTTTTAATTATATTGCTTCATTTCTGAACTTTGGGGTTTTTTTTTTCTCAATTGTCTTTCTGTTATTGATTTCTAGCTCAATTCCCCCAAAGTCAGTGGGTAGCTACAAACAGCCCTACAGCTAACACCATGATTAATGATGAACTATTATATATGAGTCTAAGAACAAGACAAGGATGGCCATTGTAACCACTGCAATTTAACAAAGCACCTGAATAGCCAAGACAACTTTGAACAACAATGCTGGAGAATTTAAACTCCCAGATATTTGTATTAGTCAGCGTTCTCCACAAAGAAAGAGCCAATAGGATAAAAAGAGAGAGAGATGGGGTTTATGCAATTATGGAGACCAAGAAGTCCCACTTTATGCTGTCTGCAAGCTAGAGAACCAGGAATGCTAGTGGCATAATTCAGTCTCAGTCTGAAGGCTCAAGATCCAGGAGCTCTGATGTCCAAAGGCAGGAGAGATGGATGTCCCATCTCAAGAAAGGAGAGGGGAAAATTTCTTTTCTTTCACTTTTGTTCTCTTAGGGCTCTCAATGGATTGGATTGGATAATGCTCACCCATGTTGCTGAGGGTTTATCTTGCTTACTCAGTCTGCTGATTCAAATGCTAATCTCCAAATGCAAAAGGCTAAACAGTAAAGTTTCTAGAAGAAAACTTAGGAGGAATATATTTACGTTCTTAGTAGACAATAATTTCTTAAATATAATGCACCATGAAGCACCAATCCTAATGCACATATATACACCCGTGAAACCACCATCCAGGTCAAGATGTGGGACATTTCCAGTGCCCCAGCAGTTCCCTCATGCCCTTCCCAATTGACAGTCTAGTTAAAAAAAAAAAAAAAAAAGATGGGGCACTGGGGTGGCACAGTCGTTTGGGCATCTGACTCTTGGTGTCAGCTCAGGTCATGATCTCAGGGTCCTGGGATCAAGCCTCGAGTTGGGCTCCACACTCACTGCAGAGTCTGCTTGAGATTCTCCCTCTCTCTCTCTCTGCCCCTCCCACTCCTGCTCTTTCTCTTTTTGTCTCTCTAAAATAATAAATAAATAAATAAATAAATAAATAAATAAATAAATAAATGAGAGGGGGCAAGACTTGAATAGGTACTTAATAAAACAGGATGGTATTCAAGTGGCCAATGATCATATGAAAAAAAAATATTCTCCAGGTCATTACTCATCAGGGAAATGTAGATGAAAACAACAATGTCGTACCTCTACAACTTCAAGAGAATGGCACTAATGGAAAGGACTGACAGTACCAAGTATTGTATCTGCAGCACTGGAATTCTCAATACTGTTGGTGGAAATGTAAATTATGTCAATCACTCTGACAAAGTGTTTGACAAAATCTGCACTAAAAGCTAAATCAGTGTAGTTCTGGAATTTCTCATTAGTATACATATATTCTAGAGAAATGACTACATATGTCTGCCAAAAGACATGCACCAACTCATGGCAGCTTTATTCCAAATAGCAAAAGAATCAGCCTCAAAGTCCATCAGGAGTAAAATGGACATATACAACTCTACCATATTCATTCAATGGGATTCTACCCAGCAATGAAAAAGAACATCCTATGCTTGCATACAGCAAGAATGCATGCATCCCACTTATTTAAAGAAAAACAAAGACAAAAATCTGTTGTGTGATTCCCATTTACTTAAAGCTTAAAAACAGGGAAAAAAATGAATCTTTGGTAGTAGAGGTCAAAATAGTGGTTACTTTGCAGAGAGAGGTTGACTGGGAAGGAGCATAAGGAAGCCTTCTATGCTACTTCTTGACAGTAGGGACCTAAAGAATTGTCACTGTAAAACCTGACTATCACTGACTATTATCATCCACAGACATGATGTACAGATGGCCTAGCCTCAATTCTGACTTTCAGTATCCCTGGAGGTGGGCAGAACATAAT